CCCCCCCCCCCCCCCCCATGTATTTATCTCTACAGTGAGCATATATGTGGGCACATGCTCAGTCACTTTGACCATGCCTGTAGTCAAGTGTTTTCTTGTTTCTTGTACCACCACCTGGCAAAGCATCCTTTTCTCTGTTTCCATCTTAATGATTAGGCATGGAGGCTTGTCATTTGGTCAGCCAGGCCAGCACTCCTTTCTCTGTACCCTTCCCCAGCACCCTTTGCCTTCCATCATCCTATGACTTCCCCCAACCTCCCTCCCTTCCCCTCCCCTATTATTGCCCCGGTCTAGGATGCTTTGAAAAGTATTCATTCCTAGGTACTCCTATCTTCTGGAATTCATCCATGCTGGCTTGCCTCTTCCTATCTTTTCTTTTTCTTTAATTCAGTTACTAAAATGCCCTAGCATACTATTACTCTTGCCTCATTTCTTTGTCGCATCGATATTGCATTTTCTTTATATCACATTGCATTTATATCCCACCTTTTTTCTTCTTGTGATGGACCCAAGGTGGCTTATATCATTGTGTACTCAATTTTTTATTCTTCTACAACAATCCTGTGAGGTAGAATTGGCTGAGAGTGAATGACTGGCCCAAAGTCATCCAGTGAGCTTAATGGCTGAATGGGGATTATGACCCAGTTCTCCCATATCCCCATTCCAATACTAACCACCATGGCACAGTTACTCTCATCTTCCCCCTACTCCTCTGTGCTAGTTGCTGCTTTGTACTTCATCAACTTCATCTCCCCCATTCCACCACCCATAATCCTACATTCCAGTTCCTGTTACTTTTCTCCCTCTCATGTGTCTTCCCACCTCTTTGGGTGAGCATGAAGGCCAGTCTTTCTTTCCCCTCTCTTGGTAGAAATTATGCCTTCCTAAATGCCCCCCATGTCTGAGCTCCTGCTCAGTCTTCTTTCTTACTGTTACATTCCCTATAATCTCTATTAAAGTGCATTGAAGTCTTCATTCCATCATGGACAAATCTACTCAACCAAATCCAATAAGAAAGACTTTTCTATAGTAAAGTGTATTTTAATTTCAGTAGTGTAAGGAAGTGTATTGCTTTCTTGAAAGGATATATTCATATAGAAATTGATTGTTCTATATTATAAGACAGATTGTTATCTCAAGAATACCTTAGAATACCTTAGTAAAATCTTCCACTGATATGCAAGCTGTACTGCCCAAAATTTGTGCACATAATTTGATTATTGTTCTCCCCCATTACAGCATTCTTCCCCACACTAGCATGTATCCAAATACTTTTGGAATGAAAATAAAAGGCATGACAACTCAGACTGGTATCTGTGAAAAGTGCAGCAGGCACATAGCAATAGAGAGACCAGCTCTTTAGGACAGCACTTTGTGCTTCTCTGCGGCTGGAAAATAACAGTTGGACATCTGGATGACGAGAAGATGGAGGGTGTGCAAACAGAGAACAGCCTGTAGGAGTCAGGCAAGCAACAACACATCTGTTACCAGGCAGTTAGGTACTAGAGGATGGATGGATGAATGGAGAGGCTCTTGAGAACGGCTGCTTTTTCTAGGGGACTCAGTGGTAATTGAACATCAGGTCTGTAGAAACCATGATCAGACAACAGGAGAAACTATTGTGGCATGCAGAAACCATAGAACAAACCATTGTTTTTTATTTTGGTTTCCAAAGACCAAACACACCATGCTGAAATACCATGTCTAGGTTTGAATGATATGACAGGCAGAAAATGGTTTAAAAAATCACCATGACTTCTCATATCATGCAAACTAGACAATGCATTTGCTATTGCACTATCTCAGGCAAGCAGTCACAAGCAAATGTCAGGATGTAAACGTCTGTTGTTTGACATGACTTCGAGAATTTCCTTTATATTAAGCTTAATATTGCTAACTTCTTCATTTTTCTTTTCCTGTGAGTCACCTTTTTTTAGGATGGAAAAGAATTCAACCTTTGTGTGTTAAAATTGTTTCTTTTCTGTTCTTTTAGATGCACAGAACACATGTCCTGAAATCATGCAACATCTTTTGAAAGATGGTTTCCACAGGTGGGTTTATGACAATCAGATATTGGGGCAGGGCTTCTGTTACTAGTGTATTAATAATACTTGAATCTTCCAAGTTTTGTAATTGCTTAACCTTTGAACTAATATGTTAAGCAAAATGAACTAGTGGCATGAATATAGGCTTGCTGTAATAGATAACACTGGTGAATAACTTAATGGAAATGCTAGTCTTTGCTAAATCTATGCTCAAACATGGAAATTTACAGGCAGCTCAGTAATCTACCTAGTTGTATTGAAACTCAGTTGCATTAAATGATGTAAATTTAATTAGGATTTCTTCACAAGTTCAGCTCCATTAATACAAAGATGATAATGCTAATAAAAATTCTTTTGCAGCCAGATTCCAGTACATGTCTTTCCAGAAGTGAGTTCTGCTGAATCTTTGTGGAATTTACACTGAAGTAACTGCATATAGCCTTTCCATCTTAGAAAACAATTGTAGATTACAGAATGGTAGCCATTTGAGATGCTTTCCAAAGAAAAGAAGCAATCTGTTTAAACAGGTTTTTGTTTTCTTCTTTTAAATGTTAGAGAACTCCTGATTAGGGTAAACCTTGGTACAGCTGATGAAGCCATAGGAAGTTGCATGGTGGCAATTAAAGTACACCTTCCAAAAGGATTGTATGTGGATCCCTATGAACTGACATCTTTACAAAAGCACAATGCCACTGAGGTATGAGGGTATACACAAAGCTAGGCTTTTAATAACTGATAGGGATATGTGTGTATAAGCAAACTTTGAACTTGTTGAAATTCTCCAAATGTATGGACTAACCACAGATTTGACTCTGTTTTATCCAGAAGGTGAACTGAATAAATCCTGATGAAAACTGAGCTGTAACAAATTTCTAAAGCATCTGTAAAGGCATAAGAGTTATGTGTCTAATAATGCTATTTATGACCAAGCAGTCCTGTCAGTCTTCTCAAAAGTGTACATGTCTTCTCAAAAGTTACCCCACTGAATTCAGTGGAATTTACTTCCAAGATGGTAATATCCAATAGCAGTACCCAGTATAGAGACTGGTTACCATTTTGGGTCTAAGGTAGAGATTGCTCCCTTAGAAACCATTCCCCATAGATTGATTAACATCAGGAAGTCATTGAGTCCCTGACCAAAGTGCCAAGTGAAGGTCCTTCAGCAACTGTCTCTGTTGGGGAGCCAATTTTGCTCAACCTAGACAAAAACAGAGAGAAATGAAGTGGCATCACTCATTCACCTACCTGATGTGAGGAAGACAAAGAAGATTCAGTTGATGCCTAGTAGTGACAACTGCATGCATATCTGTTTTTCCCTCATGAGAAAGCAAAGGAGGAATGAAGCAAATGAAGTTCAGGGTCTTCCCAAATCAAATCAAGAGATTTCACTGATGCTATATGGCTAGGACAGATTTTGTGAAATAAAAACGTCAGATTTTGATAATTGTAATGATCATGTTCTGTATAATGTCCCAGTTCCAAAGAAACAAGTTCTATACAATCAAAATGGATTTTCTACTTGTGTCTCCCAAACAGCTCTGCCTTCACCAAAATGCCACATGGCAAATTGCTTTTGAAAAGCAAGGAACTTTGCAAAGCAATTATATGGCATGGTAGTTTGAAATGGTAGAGATTTACTTTTCAAAGATAGAATGTAAAAAAAAAAAAATAATCCATCAGTTTTTTGGATCTTGGCCAGTGTTATTGTAAGGGATGGCTTTAGTATTACATTCTTATATTCATGCTATATTTCTATACTTATTTATTTACAGCATTTTTACTCTGCTCTTTTGCCAAAAAAGGCTCCCAGAGTGGCTTACACAGGTTACTAATAAAACAGTCCCTGGTTTTAGGCTTACAATCAAAAACACATGACATAAAAGGAAAAAGTATTGGGAGGAAGGTGAGAAGGGGGAAAAAAAGCAAAACTTAGAAACCAGTTCTTAGTTTCATGTTCTTATAGATGTTTCTGCCAGGGAAGAGTGAAAGGAGTTTAAAAGGTATTAAACAAGTGAACATTTCAGTTTGAAAAACCCTGGAGATACAAGGTTTCATCATATCAGAAAGCAGGCTTTGAGGATTATGTAAATTCTGTATGTTAAAACAAACATCTTTGCAGCTGAATTATTACTTTTATTTTGCATTTATGATGTTTTAAAATTAATGCTGCCACAAGCCACAACAGTTTTTTGCAGAAAAAAAACTTGCATAAATATTTAGCTTAGAGAGCAGTCCTATGACCCCCAGACACTGTTGGGTTATAGGAGGATTTGGATTCCTAGGTCCAAGGTTGGAAACAGAGCTCTGACCCTGAAGCAAGGAATCTTTGCTTTCATCCACATGTCCTCCTCACAAGCAATGTACAAAGAAGCACACTGGCTACATCTTCAAGGCTGGGAACTTGATCTTGGAAGAGTAAAGGGGATATTCTAGTGAGTGGGGAAAGGGGAATACTGCACAGACCAGGGAACATCCTATCATGTCTTCTACAGCCTCCTTTCCTCTCTCTGCCAAACTGCTATAATTAGACAGCTGAATAGACACAGCAGGAGGAGCAGAAAGCTAAAAATCCTGGCTGCCTCTGCTCTCTTTCTCCATTGGATGATCATCAGCCTCTAGCTCAGAGACTGATGATTATCTTGAGTGGATTGTTTTACCTCTTGACATTTTATTGATATGAAACTTCTGGCAGCTTTCCTTGGCATTTGTTAACTTGTGGTAAAAGACTATACTGTATTCATCTAAGGGCACTATAATCTTGCACTGCTGAGAAGAATAGGAATACAACTTTGGTATGAGTTCTGACACTTCTTTAACCAATAGTGCTATTACCTTTTACCTATATTCTGAAATGATGCCCTGCTTTTAATTATGTGTTTCTTCTTTTACCACAGGTGCTGATGCTTGTAGATAATATAGATTTGGAAGTTCCTGAGTACTTAGCTACTGAACTTTCCATCCTCATTTATATGAGACCTGAATCTGAATGTATTTCATGTTTTAGAGCATCATTACCTCTGCATAGCCGTTATCACCGACCAGCAGAAAGTGATGAAAGCATCTCTGTTGTATTGAAGAGTCCAGAAATATTGCTGCTTTGCCCAAAATGTGAGGCTTATTGACTTTCTATTTTTGGGAATGAGACAAGGGAAGAGAAATAAAAATTAAGGGGGAAAACCTTTAGGGATGTAATGTTACATTTTGCTGAAGTATTTGGGAAATATCTAAATATATATTCAGAACTGAGTAGTGTTTAAAAATGAACAATCCAATTCCTGAACATTGAGTTTATAATTTAATTCTTCTTCTTCTAGACTTCACTCCAGTGGAATGTTTGAAAGAAACTAAAATAGAAGCTCCATGTTCCTTGACGAATAGACATACATGCCACTGGGATAGTGTGGAGTTCAAAGCCGTACGTTGATGTTTCTTTCATCTCATGTTCAGATTTATATTCTAGTGTCAGCACTGGGCCTTATTGAATGAAAAATAGATGGTATATATAACTGTATATATTTAGACTGCCTAAATTCAGTGGGTGTTTAGTGGCCTAACTGTTCATGGGATTCCAGCTGAAAAGGCTGATTGGTTGGAAAAATCATTTATTAATATCCTGCCGTCTTTCCTTCAAGAAACTCAAGGCAACTTACACAATCTTCCTCCTCCTCTCAGTCTTTTCTTCACAACAACCCTATGAGGTTGCTTAGGCTGCGAGTTGGTGATGGGCCCAAAGTTACCTTGTGAACTTTGGGGCCAAGTGGGGACTAGAACCCACAATTTCCAAATTCAAGTTCAACACTATGCTGGCTCTCAAAATATTCTAGATTCTCTTTCTACTGATATTGGGAAGATCATTTAAGATTGCAATCCATACTTATTTGAGAGTAAGTATGGACTGAATTCAGTGGGACTTTCAATAGACAAGTATAGGATTGACCTGAAAAAGCAGTTAAACAAAAGAGGCTTTTAAAATGCAAAATGCTGAAAGAACCTGTCTAAAATGTATTTATTTAAGGACTTAATCCTATGCATGTTTGGACAGAAAAAATTTCCACAACTCCCAGGGTTATTCCAGTCAACACGTCTAAACTTGCACAGGTTTGTACTTTTCAACTGAACTTCCCAATGAATGCCATTGAAATATGTGAATTGTTTATGAAGTATGGAATACACACATTGAACAAAACAGAGCATATTTCAGTTAGCAACTCTTTTTTTGTAGGTAAACAAGAAACTGAAACTGCAGATACCAGTTGGCCTCAAACATCATCTTTCATTGGTATGCATGGTGACACTTGTTAGCACAATATTGTGTTCCAGTTTTATCCTTTCAGCTTTATGCAAGCATGGACATTTCTCCTTTGTTCAAAGCACACTGTGAAACTAAGAAAGAATGGTCAGACTGTTTAACTACATGAGGCAAATCAGAGATAGAAACAGAAAAACAGGCTTATGATTGGCTTAGCATCATAGAATGGAAGGAGGCCTAATGTCTCTTATTTAACTTTTTGGTTTTACATATGCTTGGAATATAGCTTCTCTGTCATTTTTCCTTCAAGACTGTATACATGTTTTCTGACTAGGTTGATAAGAGTTTAAATGCCTGACAGCCAAATTGTCATGCCATCTAATTATGTTAAAGCTAAATCTATAGTGAAATTATTAACAGGAATGGGAGATTTTTTTAATCATTGGAAAGATAACCCAATTCTTATTCTAGAAATGTTCAATGATAAAAATGGGACAAAAAGACAAAATTAAATTCTGAGTGGCAATACCATTTTTGAAGAAAGCTTTAAGTTTTTGTATTGGATAACCATGACACTTAGAGGAAATAATAGAATGGGTACAATTTTTTCCAAGTACTGAGAAAACAGTGGGTGTAAATCATAGTGATGAAAATACAAGGAAACACATAGAGGAAATTGCTTCATTAATGGAAAAAGTGAGCTGCTCCAAAGGTTCTTAATTTTTCTAGTCTCAGTAAGCCTTGCATATCACTAGGGGGCATTAAGTGGCAACTAGTATGTGAACAGTTCAGAGGGAAGGATGTGCCATCCCTCATTCATAGATAATATTCAATATTAATAAATTCTGTATGAAATAAAAGCAGAACATCTGAAATTCTTTTTCTGTAATGTATTACCTCTGTATATGGCCAGTATGCATATATTTTGGTCGTGTCTCCCCTGTCTCCCTTGTCTATGAATTACCTTGCCTAGTATTCCTTTGGATTCCCACCACTTTATAAAAAGCTTGTTTTATGTCATCTTTTAGTACTGTCTGATGGCTTGCTTTAACACTAGTCTTTTGTTTCCTCTGACTGATGATAGCCGAGCCAATACTTCAGTGGCCTCTATATGAAAAGTGTTCTGCATCTGTCTGCGGGGGGAAGGGAGCCATTAAAGAAACAACTGCAGATGGGTTATTTTGGTATGCCATCACCCGTATATGAGCAGCTAGAGCATGTAGTGAGAAGTCACCTGTGGGCCTTGGTTGTTTATCTTATCCTTGGTTTCCTTTGATTTAGTAATTAGTGTCATTTTGAACCAATTTTGTATTTTTATATTTGCACCTACTGAACTGAATTAGAAACAATGTAATTGTGTCTGGATGTTTCATGTTTAGATGTTTCCCTTTAAAGTAAAGTTACATTAAAGGCAATACATAGGAATTTTGAAGTGTAAGTCTGAATGAGTTCAGCAGCTTAGATGAGCCTTGGCTATTGGGCAGTATATAAACGAATCAAATAAATTTGCAGTCCATGTGAAGAATGAGGAAAACTGTCATACTGATGAAATGCGACAAGGAATATGGTTGGAAAAACTCAGGAAAAATATGAGGATAGTTCTTGATGAAGTCATGTGTCTAACAGAAGTATCTTTAAAAATTGAGAATTTTATTGGAGTCTATTATACATCTACATCCAAGTCATATCCTGTGTTAAATTGATTGCATTATTTCAACTGAAGGCAATTATTTTGCATAGGTTATTTCTTACAGAGATGTAATTTCCAAATATGACAATACATTAACTGTAATATCAAAAGTGTAGTCCAACTACACTTCTTACCATATGTACATAAGAATCTTTCATTCTGGAGCTGTGAAAGTTGCAATGGGAAAAGCACCTGTATGGCATTTAGATACATGTTCTTACACTGAATAACGTTTATCCTGGAGAAACTGGTTCAAATTCACACTCAGCCATGTGGTTTGCTGACTGATACAATCTATAAGATAGTGACTGGCCCAAATACAGGCACTTCCCTGGTTATGAATGAGTTCCATTCCCGAGATAATGGAATCATGTATAGTTGGCACTCCACATTTGTGGGGGTTGGGGGCACAAAAACTCAGTCAAAGAGGAAAAACTGCAAGTTTCTCTAGCTCCCTTCCCAACTCACCAGTTCCTCCTCTTTGTCGCAAGGAAATACCAGAGAGATTTCCCTCTCTGGATGGGCAGGGTAGGAAGGCGTGCTTTGGAGGCTTCCCTCTTTCCCCTTTCACTTCCTTTCCATGGTGATGACAATTTTCTGCAGTAAATTTTTTAAATTAATAGGATTTATGGCAGTTTAAGTACAGGTTGTTCATAACTTGGACATTCATAACTCAGGTACTTACTGTATATATCACAGGGTTTTTGGAAGCACAAAAGGGAGTGGGGAAGAACCATGTATACCACCTTGAGCTCCTTGGAAGAAAGACAAAATATATGTGTAATAAAAGATGAATACACCCAGAGAATGTTTACACAGTACAAATTTCTTCTTCAAAATGTGCATTACTGAAACTTAGTAGAAATAAATGTATTTCCTCCACTGCATTTTTTCTGTTTCCCTTGATCATACGTATGTGAAAATATAAAACACTAGAAATGCATCCTGACAAAAACAAATAGGATAAATTGCTATAGAAAGCTAAAATTTAGCCTATATTCAATCACAAATGGACTGTTTTAGTTTTTCACATTGATTTGCAGTTAAAAATTGCATTTTTAAAATGTTATGCATTTATTTTGGTGTCACTGTTGCATTCAGTGGCAGAACAGCAGCAGGAATGTGGCCTGTGATTAAGTTCCCCTGTAAGATTCCTGAAACAAACAGGGAAAATGAAAATGGTAATCTTTGTAGCCTTGCGGGAAAATATTTAAGAATGTATGGATGGCTTAGTCTCAAGGTGGTGGTGATGGGTCTAACTTTTTTTTTAAGGACCAGCAGCTGTTGTGTGGAATTTGAGGTGAAGTGAGAGGTCAGACCTTAAATAATATGGGAGGTCAGCAGGAGGATTCCAGCTGCCAGGGACAATTTTAGTTGGAGAAAGATGAGTCATGCAGCTTTTTTCCCCCAGAGTTACCATTCAAATCTTTTGCAACCCTCTACTTCAACCATGTACTGTAATAAATGGAATACATGGGAAAAGGTGATGCACAATGCTGGAATATCTGCAGGTATTAGGGTAACAACTGTAGTTTTATAGTATAGTTTGCAGTCAATTTGATGCCAACATTTACCTTTGTTCACCTGGTTGTATATTAGGAATGAAGTGAATAAAATTCTGGTAAAAAGGTGGCAGTAAGGCTTTCCTACTTTAGAGAAAGGAGTACAGAATCCCAAAGAACCTGTGCTTTTATCATGTATTAAAAAAAGAAAAAGATGACATTTCAAATGAAGAGAGGTTTAACCAACTTAAGAATAGGAAGAGAAATAATGAAAAGGAATGGTTTGACTGGGACTAACGTAGAATAAGTGAGCAGAAGAAATTTGAATGGAGAAACTTGGTAAGAGGTATGCTGCAGTAATTGGTGGGAGGCAGAATTAGTGTGGCAAATGGGAGAAAGTGAGAAAGGTGAGAACAGATATTTATTGTAAATTTCCCTAAGCATTTTGGTTATTGGGCAGTCTAGAAATACGATAAATTTCAAAATGTTTTTTGTTTTAATACCTCCATAAGATATGGGACTATGGAAATAAGATTATGGGGCCCTCTTCAGGTGGCTGAACCCACTGGAAACAACTGGGGCTTCAAGTTGAAAATGGATGACTAGACTGTTTCTTTTATTTTCTAGCTGAGCATGCAAGAAAATATTTGTTTTGCGAGAAATGTTTGTATCCCATGCTGAAATGTTTTCTATGCCACTCCTTTACTAGGTGTTCATATAAGCAAACATACTCTGCTGTGTGTCAATATTATGTCTGCCTTAAGTGTTTATGCATTGTATATTCAGCAGGCATCACCACCAGGAAGGGTGGTATGTATGCATCCACTGCTTCTGAAGGCGAGTCATTCTACTTGCAGAAACTGATGACTAGTGATTAACCTGAGCAACCCTAATGCCTAAAAAACTGTCTTTCTCATTTATTGCTCATACTTGCTCATTATTGACAAAAGAACTATTAAGAATTTATCAGCACAAACATGGATACTCTTAACATATAAAGCATGCTGTTTAAGGCAAATCTGTCTAAACCCATTCCAGCCTGATTTTTAAAACTTTTTGCTCTGGTCAGGGCTATTATCAGGTTTGAAGGGATAAGGCATGTTCTACCTTTCCTAGTGCCACTCTGGCATGTCCTGCCCTACCTGACCCTAAAAACTTACCAGGGGATGGGAACTGACAGCCACAGGCAGTACAGGCTGATAGAGGTCAGTCTGGCTCTGAGAGGTACTGGGTGCAGTGGCTGCATCAGTCTCTTCTGCTGATCTTGCTAACTAGGTAGGTTCATAATGAGACATGCCCCTTGAACAGGCAGGCTCTAAATGGTTTAGGGTTTAAACCAACACCTTGAATTGAACCTAGAAAGCACGCAGCAACCAGCTGTTCAATTTTTCATCAGTTACAACTTTTGGAAGCTTTTAGGGTACCTTCCCATATAGGGCTTTGAATAACTTGCCAAGCTGAATTCACTCAGGAAGGCTTGTAGCTAGTGCACCAAGAGTCAGTGTACAAATCTACTTCTTGCTTCAGGGATAGCTGAATATCAAGGAATTTTCAAGCTAAGAACCATATTCAGATAGAATGCAACTCATTCTGAAACAAGTTGAATCCTGATGTTTGCATCAGGCTTTCTCTTTGGCTATTATCAAATCCTGAGGTCTCCACTGTGTTACCTATGGACACCACTATGCCTGCAGAAACCTTTCTTGGTGCTTGTCAAATTCCTCCCCGCCTCCCCCCCCACCCCACAAAACTGTGCAAAGCAAGGTGCTGGACTGTAAAACCAGCTTTATGTCATTTAATGTAATTGTGAGCCACCCAGAGTTGCTGTGGCACAATTGGGCAGCATACAAATGCTTTAAATGAACGAATGAATGAAGTGTTCTGGCTCCTTTTGGTGTTTTAGTTTGGAATGCTGGAATTATTTTCAACTATTTCATCTGCTTTTTTGATTTGGAAATGCTTATTCAGCCAACTGGAATGTAATTTAAGTATTTTAAATGAAATGGTCCTATTGATATGTTTTCTTTGCATTAAGGCTTTCTTACTCCTAAAGCCTTACATCTAATTGCTGAAAATTATCAACTATGTTGTTAAATTTGGTGCTGAGCAGCCAGTGAAAACAAGCAGCATGGATGTGGTCAGGCACCAATTGGCCATAGGTCAAAACAAAAGGGAGTATACTGAATGACTGAAAGGGAGTATACTGAATGTTGATTTTAATAAAGCTGCCTTGGAATTGTACCAATGTGGGGACTGAAAGAAAGCAGCACAGTTTAGCTAGCTGAGAAGAATAGCTGGGCTTTTAAATACAGCTCCTAACAGATCTACATCTAATAATATTGAAAAGCTGAAAAGGATGCAGAATAGGGCAGCCAAGGTGATCAAGGGGCAAGAGCATCACCCCAGTGCGGAAAGGGTATATCTGTGACTGTTTAATGGAGAAAAAGTATGGAAGTATGCTTCATCCAAGGCATACTTTAACTATATGGAATTCTCTTTCACAAGATGTAGTTTCAGTCACCAGTTTAGATGGCATTAAAAGGGAATTAGAGAAATTCATTAGAAGTTAAAACTATCAGTGGCTATTAGGCTGATGCCTGTCTGTTGCCTCCAGTATCATAGGTAGCATGTCCATGCGCACAACAGCTGCAGGAGAACAAGGGCAAGAGGGTGCCATCACATATGCTCTAACTTGGGCTTCCCACAGTCAGCTGGTTGACGTGTGAATAGAATGTGGGACTAGATGCACCCTTAATCTGATTAAGCCTGTCTGTTCTTATGAGATGCTTCTCCCCATCTCCCTGTTGATTTTGTTGGATGTTTACAAGTAAGTTTTAAATACAATTTCTAAACAATTATTATGAAACAATCATGTATTCTGGTCAATTTACATTTTAAAGAGTAAAGGTGGTGTTTAATATTGCCCAAAGAGGACACATCAATTTTCATATGCTAGTATTTATAATGGCAATTTTTCAAATCAAAAATGTAAATTAAGATACATGCCTATGCATATTTAAACAGAAAAATCTAAGCATATGTGTTAATTTGCTAGGGTCCTCTGTGTGTGTGTGTGTGTTTTGTCTAAATATATATAGGCTTGCCCCCTTAAAGCAATAACATTACATCGTACTGTAGTTGGGAAGACTGACCAAATGACTTGTGTACTTGCTAAGGCTGCGATCCAAACGTTACTGTTGATACGCACCTTCAAGACCCCTTCTATTCCTTTATCTTTAAACCGGGCTTGAAATGGACAATCCTTCAAGCAAAGCACATCATCAGAGGCCTGTCCTCAGTAAAGTAAGTCACCCTGCAACTTTCCATGCACTCTGCCCCCTCTATGAGAAATACTTTAAAAACAAGCAACGTAACATAGAAAATCTACAATAAGCACTTTTTACTAAAAATGCACAATAATGTCCTCAATCGAAAGTAAAAGCATAAATATAAGAAAACGCCCACTTAATCCACTTTTTAAAAGACGAAGGCATAATTGAAATACGCACACTAAATTTAAGTGAGTGATTTTGAGTAAGGAGGAAAGCAAGCAAAGCCTCTGCTCTTGCCAAAATAACCTCCACAACCCAAAATATTCCAAGTCCTCTCTTTTACTCCTAAACCCGTTTCTATCTCACTAGCGGACTTACTGCACATTTCAGTGCCTTATGGGTACCGTCGCGCGCCTCCGCTCCTCGATGCATGACGGGAATCTGGTCTCAATTCCACTCTCCCTCACCCCTCCCGTTTCTTTCGCGCCGCTTTCTACACCAGGAGCCGCCCGGCCAGCTCCGCCTCTTCCTTTCCCGGGCTGTGGCCACGCGCGGCGGTTCCGCTTACTCCCTTGGCCGCCCGGTGGGCCCTCCCCGCCATTGTAGGAGGCCGCGCCCTGCCCTCAAGTTCCTCAAGCAGTCGGGCCGGTAGCGGGTGAGTTGGAGCTTTTCTCAGGCTCGGTACGCTGGAGAGCGAGAGGCTGGGAAGGAAGAGCGGCTGGCGCTTCCCGCTGGGGGGTGGGCGAGGAGGAGACGGAGCTACCCAGGGGTTGGGCTTGCATGGAGCCTTTCCGTGCGGTTGCTCTTGGAAGGAGCCTCCGAGGAGAGCTAACGGGGCTGCTCGAGGAGGAGGAGGAGGAGAACAGGGAAGGTCTCGCTGTTCTGAATTTGTGACTGTGCGGGCAGGTGGGTGAGAAGACTGGGGCGTGGTGGAGCTCTTTAGCTGGCGGACGAGTGCGCCTCTCTGGTCAAGGCTTGGGTAACGTCAAAAGGCACAAGCTGGTTGGGTTCGCCTTTGCCTTCTTCGGTCTCATGTTATAACGGACTCGTTGATTCTAGGTGTGCTCGATAACGGGACTCTTTTCTTTCACTCTTAACCAGCCGAATTTAAACAATAGTCTTCACGGTGTTTGATAGGTACTTTCCTTAGAGAGATTTGTGTGGGTAGGTGGTTCTTCTCAGGGCCGTCGGGGCCCCTACTGTCTGCTTCGCACAGTAACAGCAACATTTCCTCCTCCTCCCCCTCGGAGGCCAGGTGACGCAGGGCAGCTGCTGCTGCTGCTGCTGCTGCTTGCGGCGAGCGAGTGGTGGTTGCAAGGAAGCGCTGCTGCTGGCTCCCTTGGATTGCTTGCTCATTCACCTGTCTTCTGTCTGGGAGGGGAAATGATAAAGACCGGGCCTGTCAGGCAGCCCAGAGAAAGTTCACAGGTGAGTCAGTGAAACACTGATGGCAGCTATTGCCTGCTCTCCCCCACCCTCTGGAAGCACAGCAGAGAGAATTGGAGCTGCCTAGAGAGCATGTTTGAAGAATGAATATTAGTCATAAGGGGTATAATTCATTACCTGCATGGGAGGCAGTAAGCTTCTGAACACTAGTTGCTGGGTAACAAGAGCAGGAGAGTGATGTGTTCATGTTCTGTTTGTGGGTTTCAGATTGACATTTGGTTGGTCACTGTGAGAACAGAATGTCGGACTGCATTGACCTTTGGCCTGATCCAACAGAGCTGGTTCTGTCTGTTTAAGGACTGGAGAAGGCAGTGTTTGCTCCATATTTCTTTGGCTTACTTTCCTGCTTTGGACTGCACAGTGAAAGCTCAGGGCCTGAAAAATTGTCCACTGAAAGAGAGAACATTTGAGCAACTTCCTTTGCTCACTTCTCTTCCCCCCACCTCTAGACAGTGCAGGCACGTAAGTGGGCTGAGTTGCTTGTTTGTGCAAGGAGCAGCTGCTGCTTTTCTAACTAGCCTGTGCATTCTCCTTGTGTGTACAGGGTGGGGTTTGGGCAAGGGGGGGTCTAATCATTTATTTTATACCAACCAGTGAGGGGGGACAAACAAGCAGAGTTGCTTCTATATCTGGCTGCCTTGTTGGTCTCTGTATTTATTATGATGTCAAAAGAAAGATTTTATCAAGCAGGTAAAGCCTCAGAGATAGACTAGGCCAGTGAATAATGAGAAACATTACCTTCGCAGTCCTTGCTGCTATGCTGCTAGGTGACAAAAAGAGAGGGACAGTTGTTTCTTTGTTCTCTTACCCCACATGTTTGGGCATGCTAGTATGGCAGGAATGATTGAGCAAGTGATGATTGGACGAATCATCCTGGGATTAATGGTGCCAGAAGATTGGGCCCATTGAAGCTTCCTTGATATAGAAGCAACCAGTGCTCTGTGCCTTCACATCTGCTGAAGCTGTAGAAAAGATTTGGCTTGCGGGGTCAAAACTCTGCCACTGTGATACCCAATGGGAAAGCACTTGTGAGCAAGGGACAAGACGTTGTGGCTGTTTTGTAAGCAGACAGTTGCTTCTACCCACTTGCATGCTTGTATGCCTTCTGAGAGCTACCAAAGTAAGGATTAGGCTCACTGTGTCACTAGAGAAAAGTGGATGAGTGGGCAGAAGAAGCAGTATTCATTATGTTCTGTGTTTCCGGGCTCACCTCTTCCCAACATGCTACTTAGGGAGAGTGATTTTATTGATTTGCCACTTCTGCCTATTTGACTATCTTTCCTGGTGGCACAGAGGGGAGGATTTGGCTGATTGTGGAGAAAGGAGTGCCAAAGGCATGTTGCTCTACTTAAGATATGCTCACTGCTCATCTTTAGAATATTTTACATTTATTACATTATCTCTTACATTACCAGAGAGGTCTGCCTGGCGCCATTATTATAAGTATTTCAGCACCAGGTCAAGACCTTTTTATTCAATATTTTAATATGTTTTAATATTGAATTTTATTGTTATATTTTATTAATTTGCAGCCAGTATGGATGATCAATTTATTTATATTGTAAGCTGTCCAGAGACGCAAGTAATTGGATGGCATACAAATTTAATAAATAAATAAATAAAATTTACAGTAGGGTGGTTTAGCGTGCAGTCTATGGGCTGCATGCAACTGCTGAGCCCTTGTTCTGTGGCCCCTTGCCACTTTTGCTCTCATCTGCAGGAATGGGCAAGGGATTCTGGGGAGAGTTCCTTAGCTGAAGTGCACCAATTCCAACAAGGAAGGAGGGGCCAGAGAGTCACATAGGAGGGTTTCTGAGTGGGAGAAACAGAAGGAAAGGATGGGTTGCGCTTGGGCTGTGGTTGGAGGAGAAGCTGAGATTTCTGCAGAGATCACAGGCCCACAAAACATTATTTTTAATTCAACTAGTACTAAATTACCTTAAAATTAATTCCCCCTTGTTTAATGGTTAATTAAATATATTGTGTGTATTATATTAAAAATTAAAAAAGTTGTGAACATTTTAATTGACAATATGAAAATATAATTCATTGTTTGACCCCTGGGTTCCATGTCAAAGTCCTAATGTGATCCTTAAGGTACACGAAATTGGACCACCCTGATCTACAGAGTCTTTCAGTGGAGACTGGGAGAGTCACATCTTCCTCCTATTTTCAGATGATCAAACTGGGAATATATTGTTCAGTTCTTGAGAATCTTATGGTGTTTGTACTGGGGTAGGGTGGAACTTTTTTTTAGCTCCCCATCCTTCTGTCCCTGCCTTTCCAGTTTACTGACTGCAGGTCAGGATGTTGCAGCAATCTCTGAGGAGTAGATAGCTCTATGCTTATTTCCAGGAAGGGGCAAGCATTTACATTGACAGTTGCATACTGATACAACAGATTCCACTCTTCTTCATGCATTTAATAACAGAGTTTTAATTGAACAGCCATTAAATGTAGGATATATGTTTAACCTTACTGGTGTAGGGACAGTTCTTTTACAAAGTGAAAATGTATTTTCAGTTGTATACTATATTTATTTTACTTCACAATATCTCAGGGTGGTAATACAATATATAAATGAATGAATAAATAAGATAGAGCAAAGTTTAAATTTAAAAACAAAATATAGAATGGAACCCCCTTCTATATAGCATGCTTTCTTGAGACATAATTATTGAACATACTGACTGTCTTTTGGTAGACCAGGGATACTGAATTTTGCATTATTTGAATTTTGACTTGTAAAGTATTTTTTCATATTGTGTTTGTGTAAGACTGTAGGAAAAAAAGGTGGGTTCAGAAGAGCTGGTTGTAGTTGAAAAATAGAGTATATTCTATCAATGGTATATTCTGACATATTTTGTGGGCTATAGTCCACTTCTTCAGATGCATGGAGGGTTACAATATATAGTACAGATAGGAAAGGGATATATAAATTTGTACTTCTCTATAATACTCTGTTCATCTGATGAAGTGGATAATAGTTTCTGAAAATTTATGCCAGAATAAAAATGCTGGTCTTTAAGGTGCCACAAGACTCTTTGTTTTTACTGCAGTGTCTACTTCTCTGGAAGTTGAACATAAATGTATTTTCTTGATCTTTTCTTTCAAGGCATGTAGTATACCTGTAAAACCTTCCAATACCTTAATATAGGATATAAATGAATATTTTTTAACATTTTAAATTTTCCATGATAATGCTTCTAGTACTTATGCAAGTTGTCTTTATTCAATGTTATCTTAGTTTGTTTTATCATTAAGCTTTGAGGATAAGAAAAAATTGTTTGACTATAGAATCAAAAAGGGAAATCTAGCAGTAGGCCCTGAAATGTGGCAATGTTATTTTGAAATTCAAGCTGTGAGAACTTAGAATGTATTTTATAGCCATTTCCAAACAGTGCGTATAACTCTACACTGTACTTGTGGGGAAATCTGGAAAGCTTGAAGAAAGACTTTGGCAGTTGTATTTGTGGGTTTGGTGAAAATTAATACCTACATCACATGAAACAGGATCAGGTGTGCAAGTGTAAGAAAGAAAATATTACATTCTACATTGCATTCAGACTCATTTCTGTTCTCAAGTGGTTGTAGAGGTGTAAAATCACAGCTCTTGCATTATTTTTATGTGTAGCCAGAGGGACAAGAAATTAGTTCATCAGAGAGTAAATCAGCCACAAACAACTATCTCAGTAAGTTTAATTTTCAGTAGAATGCAAATATACCTTGAACATCTGAGCTTACATGAATATATTATTTGATTATGAATGCTTTATGGATTTTATTCTGGAATCTCTACTGTTTATTTAAAGGTATTTAAAAATAATTTTGGCATCACAGTTGTCGGCTTCCTAAATGCCTGGTTGAACAGGAGCCTGAATGTTTTCAAATGTGGTAGTAAATATTACTACATTTACTACAAGAGATCTTAGTTCATGTGATAGGCAGAAAGATGTATGGCAGTGGTTTTCAACTTCTTTTCACTGAGAGAACCATTTCTGTGTCATATTTTTTGTTGAAGAACTCTCTGGAGCTCTTGGGCGTTTACTTATTTTTATGCATGATAATATATTGGTAAGCTCAAAATAGTTTGCATTAGGTTGAAGTCATATCTAAAATATAATTTTACCAGTCATTAATACAAATTCAGATTTCAACAGTTTTAAAAATGCATACCCTACCATTACTAATCATATTCTTTGGGTGTCATATTCACCTTAAGGGTTACCCTGGCTTTGAACAGCTGAGTATTGCAATCCTTGTAGCAGGCCTACAATCCTTGTAGCAGGCATCTCAGTCCTTGAGATGCACTGTTTTTGACCTCACTTAGAAGGTTGTTGAGAGGGTTTGAATAACTGCAGTGAAAACTTTGCTCCTAGCTGCTGATGATCTCACTTCCTGTAATAGAATACAGAGCAGGGTTTTAATCTGATTATTGCAGCTGGTGTTGGGATCCATACAGGGATAGGGAGTTGTTAAAGTGCTTTGGATCCAGATTTTGATGGGCTTCAGAGATAGCCACCAATATATTGGGCTGAAGTAGGAGTTTTCAGGCTGCTGCCAAAAAATGTTTGTTTATGGTAGCACCTCTCTATTATAAAAAGGTGTGTTGTGGCAATCTGAACCAGCTGTATCTTCTGAGTTATCTAAAAGGGTAGCTCCATGCCAAACATACACTATTGCAGTCAGACCTCATTGTTCTGAAAGCACGGAGCAATATAAAGGTATTTCCCTACTTTAAATGGATGGATCCTACACAACAAATGTACCTAATGAAAAGTTTTGGCCATTGCTTTTAAAAGTTTATCTGGAAAGAAAGCAAGATGCAAGACTGGTCCCAGTCTCTGAATATGGTTGATGGGGTGAGTACCAATACCTCCTAATGGCTTCATATAGATGTAAACAACTGTTATTCAACAATTTTACCCAGTGCCTCATAGGAAGAACAACATGACAAGGGAGACCATCTCAACTCCATTCATTAGTCAGGGGGGAATAAAAGCTACTGGGTTGTGTGTGGATTTGAAGTTTGTTTATGTTGATTTTTTTGTAAGTTGTGTGGAGTGCTATTCAACCTGAATGTGGTGTATACATCTTCTAAATAAGTTGAGGCATGAGGAACATGGAAGGTTGGTTACTGTGGTACTGAGTTAACTACTTCATGAATGCAGCCAGGTTGGAGTAGATTAGGTATTCTGCCTAGATGTCCAAGCCAACCTAAAAAAAATGGCATGGTTTCTAATGCCAAGAGCTGCTGAGATCTAACAGGATAAGGAGGTTGATAGTCCCTTGATAGCTGTAAGGACTCTGAATAATTGTGAGTCTTCTGTGAAGATTTTGGTTAAGTGCATTGTTGAGCAAGACATCAGCATCAAATTGCCTTCAGTTTTGCCTAGTGAAGTACGAATGGTTGTAATCTGTGAGGGTTTATGATGTTTAACTGCATGCTGTAGTGGGTGACA